TTCATTAGGCTAAAAAAAGATTCTAAAGAGAAATTCAATGCACTTCTAAATAATCCCTAGGTTAAAGAAGAAGTCTAGAAGTGTATAAATGCATAGAACTGAATAAAAATTAAAATTTAACAAAGTCAATATGAGGGGTGTAAATAAACCAGCGTGAAAGAAATGGACAACCTGAAATTAAAAGAGAGCTATGGCAAATTAGTTCTCTAAGTTCTATCTAGAAAATTAGAAAAACAAGAACAAAATAAATCCCAAAACAAGGAAAAGGAAAGAAATAATGAAGAGCAAAAATCAATGAAGTCAAAAATAGAAAATTAAAGAAAAACCAAGGAAACAAAAAACTGGTTCTTTCCAAAATTAACAAAATTGATAAATTTCTAGAATGGCCAAAACAAAGAGAGAAAACAGAAGTCACTAACATCAGAAAAGAAATAGGAGATATCAATACTGACCCTTTAGCAATTTAGAAAAACAACAAGGAAGTATGTACCACAACCAGCTTCATACTGTTAGTTCAACAGCTTAGAGGAAATGAATGATTTCCTTAAAACCCACAAACTCCCAAGGTTTAACCAGGATTAAGTAGGTAATAGCCTATAAAAAGGAATAAATTGAATTCATAATTTAAAAAGCTTCTGAAAAGGAAATCCTGAGGCCAGATAGTTTTACTGCAGAGTTATAACAAGTGATTGAAGATCTAACACCAAAGTTACAAAATCTATTTCAGAAACATAAGAGGTGGGAACACTACTAGTGAGCTCTTATAATTTTATGTTGCCTTGGCATCTGTTTTAATATGAATTGGACTTTATCATTTCAGAAGCAGCACTTAGTCACCGTTGATGTAGTTTCTAATTCTCTACCTCTCCTGGTTTTTCAACACGATCCATATGCATATCCCCCTTATACAACCACCCTCACCCCTGGTGACCACCTCCCCATGTAACTAACAATTAGAAACAACCTACTTGACTCTCTCCTCTAACTCCCACATCCCTAGTGACCACCTGGAATCACAGTGTGACTTGTGCCTGCTTGTTGCAGATCCACCAATTAGAATTTCCAGATGGAAACCTGCTTGGGTAATTCCCTGGGCCCCAATAAAACCTTTAACCCGCAAGTCCTTATCTCTGTCTTGTTCCCAATCCATTGTACAGTGTGTGTGTCCCAGTTGGCTCCTCACTTCCTATTAGGCCTGTAAGTTGTGATCCTCTTTCTGGGATCTGTAAATAACATGTTGCTTCTGATATTTCAAACATCAGGCTGTCTGTTGTATGTCTCACCCATTAACACATCCAAACCTAAGTCCCTTCCTGGTGAGGGCTCTCCTAGATAGCAGCTGTTTTGGTAGGAATAAACTGGACACAGGTCTGACAAGAGCCAAAAGGGTATCTGCCAGTATAAAACCAGTTTCCTGTGAGAGGAATACCTGATCAGGGATTGGACATTTAGGCATAATGCTGTCCAACAAGAAAAGAAGCATCCCATGAAAGCTTTTTTTTTTTTTTTTTTTTTTTTTGTAAACATCCACGACCAAATCCCTGGAGTCCCATCAGGGCAGGATTAAAGTTTATAGCCATTCTCCTAAGAGATCTCCAGACCAAATGAAGGGAAAATAATGATACTTACCAAAGGATTTTACAAGGCTTTAATTGTCCTGATACCAAAACCCAAGGGCAACAACAATAACACAAACCCCAATAAAAGAAAACCTATGGACTAATATATTTCCTGAACTTAGAAACAAACATCTTCACAATAGCAATGCACAAAAGAATTATACATCATGCCCAAGTTGGATTTATTGCAGGTGTGTAATCTTGGTTCAACATTTGAAAATCAGTCCATGTAACTCATAATAATAACAATTTTGGGGAAAATTTAATCTATCATATTAATTGACACAGAAAAAGCATTTGACAGAATCTGACATCCATTTAGGACCAAACTTTCAACAAGTTAAGAAGGACAGCTGCCTCAAATTGACAAAGGACACCTACAAAAATCCTAGGCTAACATTAATACTGAAGGACTGTGTGTTGTTCTTCCAAGGACAAGGCAAACATATGAAGAAACAAGGGGAAAGAAGATCTAGTTGGCAGGTTTGATATGTAAACTCCTATGTCGCCGTGTCTGGGTTCATAAGGACCTAGAATTTTCTACAGTGATTGATTTCTGTCCTTTCTGGGAGAGAGGAGAGGGAGGACAGCCTTAGTCATATATGTCCTTCTTTTAGGCAAGTTGGGGGAGGGCAGAGGGCTTATCCTGTGTCTATTTCATCCCAGTTGCCTTCAGCTCAAAATAATCCTTATACCTAAGTGGCATATTTGGGGGCAGCATATTCTACTATCCTTCAAGAATCAGTGGAATGATAGAATCCATTCATTAAGTGGCAGAAATGAATATAGAGAGGGGTTTTCACACTATCAGTCACCATGAAAAACTAAATACCAGGAACAAAGAAGAGAGGATCCTAAAACCTTTAGCAGGCGAAAAAATCACATCACATATTAAAGGGACAAAGATTTTACACTCCACCAAATTCAACTCAAGCTCACCTGAACTCTTCTTTTTTAACCAGGTCTTGAATTTTGTATTTCATCTCTGTGTTGTCTAATTTCAGCAAGAATCCTTCTAAATTGGTTTATCAGAATCCCAATCCTTCATGTCTGATCAACCTCAATATCCAATATGGTTTCTCATCCTGTACCATACCCTAGGTGACATCTGAGCAATCTGGTAAGAATCCCGGTAAGTCACTTTAGCCAGAACCTCCCAACATTTTTTATTTCCTCCTTAGTTTGTTCTGTCCTATGACCCATAGAACACGGAGATGAACTGAAAGACTATGAAATTCTATGAAACTGGAATCATTCTATTTATTTAAGGCAGAAGTTAATGCATTAATACAGCATCTAAGGAATTGGAGTTCAGTTCTCTCAAGGAAACTCTTTTAGAGAAAGGCTAAAAACAAATGAAAATTCATGAAAGGTAGTTTTAACACCCACAAACATATGTTCACACCCCTAATACACAATATCTCAAGCATGACTAAAATATGATTTTTACATTAATATACAGAGCCACAAATAATTCAGAGGTAATGCAGAAAAGAAAATGTATAAATTTCCAATAAACCCAAAACTATTTTAACTCCCACTAACAAGTAATGAAAATTTAAAAATAAGCAACAAGGAGCTATCACTCTCAGTTAACAAATTGTCAGAAGTCATAAAAGTCAACAAGGATGCACCCAAACTAACCATCCAGGTTCTTTTGGTGGAATTAAAACTAGTAGAGCCATCCCTCAGGATGGGGGGGGCCCGTTCAACAACCTTCTGCAGATACTGAAACCCAAGGATGCTCAAGTCCCTGATTCAAAATGTTATACATGCCTATGCACACATCCCAGTATACATAAAATCATCTCTAGATTCTTTTAAATAACTAATGCAATGCTATGTAAATACTTGTTATACTGTATTGTTTAGGAAATAATGCCAATAAAAAGTTGGTACATGCTCAGTACAGATGCAATTTTGGGGGGAATGTTTTTGACTTGCAGTTGGTTAACTCTGGGATGCAGAACCTGCAAATATAAAGACCTGACTGTACTGTCTTTCTGGAAGGCAGTCTGGCACAAGAGATAATTAGAGAAGAATGCAAATGTGTAATATAGGAATTTTGATTTCAGACTTATCATATATAAAAAAACTACAAACTACATGAGTATCCGTCACTAGAAGCCTGCCTACTAAATATTCTTCTATGGACCTGCCGATAAGGGAGGCAAGCCTACACATAAATAAGTGAATTACAAGTAAAAACAAGTATATTTTAGGCAATAAGGTATAGAAATTGTAGGACCAACCAGGCTACATCATAATTCTTTTGGGAGGAGCTCAGATCAAGGCACTTTATGGAAGGTCCTTTCCTGGGAATGATGTGGTATGAGCCTCAGATGGTTTGTTCTTGGACAAGTTTGCCTTCAATCAGAATGTTTCTTCTCTATCCAAACTACATTTATGAAAACATGCAACTGATTTAAAAATTAGGTTGAAGGCTCCTGTAGGCCAAGCTAGTCAGATCTCATAAATGCATTTCTTATTACATATTGGAGAGCCATTCCTTGATGTTCAGATTTGCAAAGGTCTCTTGGAGATGGGAAAGACTGGAGCTGAAGGAAGCAATGAAGATGGGAAGTCACACTCAGGAGATAGTTCTAGAACAGAATCTACCAAAATGAATGGGGTAGTGAGTGATGGTGATGGGGAAGGGGGGTCTAATAGTTCTAGAACAGAATCTACCAAAATGAATGGGGTTGTGAGTGATGGTGATGGGGAAGGCGGGGGGTCTAGGTAGAATTTAAATCAAAAGGCTTATTAAAATCAGCTAGAGCCAGGTGTAGTGACTCTTTTGCCTGTAATACCAGCGGCTTGGGAGGCTGAGGCAGGAGGATCGTGAGTTCAAAACCAGCATCAGCAATGGCGAGGTGCTAAGAAACTCAGTGACACTCTTGTCTCTCAATAAAAATGCAAAATTGGGCTGGGGATGTGGCTCAGTGGTTGAGTGCCCCTTAGTTCAATCCCCGGTACTGTCCCCTGCACTAAAAAATCGGTTAAAAACAGCTGGATGAAGTTCTTTAATCAGGACCTCAATGAATGAAGCCCCTCAAATTCTGCCTCCTTCAGTCATCCCCATTCAACAGCAGCAACCATTTTCTCCATCAACATCACCTTTCCACTAGACACCTCCACTGAAGCTTTTTAACCTATATCTCTTGGAAGTTCATCTCATTTTCTCAATTCATCACCTGAGTGAGAATTCATCAAAAACAATTGTTTTGGTTCTGGAGATTAAACCAGGGCATTTGACCACTGAGCCACATCCACAGGCCTTTTTATCTTTTATTTTGAGGCAGGATTTCACTAAGTTGCTTAGGGCCTTGGTAAGTTGCTGAGGCTGGCTTTGAACTTGTAATTCTCTTGCCTCAGCCTCCTATCACTGGGATTACAGGTGTGCTCCACCATGCCCAGAAATATTTCACATTTAAAAAGTTTCCAAACTCTGAGCTGCCCCTTATCATATACATATACAAATACACAGATTTGTATCACCCTTAGAAGGGAAAGAAGCCACCCAAATTTCTCTGTTTTATGAGGGCCATAGGCTAGAGATGACCTTATTTACTAGTTTGACCCTAGTTCCAGGACTTTGGCGGCTCAAGGCTGAGAGGGAGTACAGATGGAGGTGGGGGACAGGGCAGATGACCAGTGGCTGTTGGGTGCAAAGTGGAATACCAGTCCTCAGACTGGTGGGGTAGAGCAAATGAACCACCGGTGGAGGGCTGTGAGGGAAGGGCATGGTTATAGGGGTGAGGGAAGCAGGTTACTGTTGGAGGTGGTGTTGTGTAGGAATAGGGGCAAGCAGGGGACTCTGGCAAGAATCCAGAGAAGGTGGCAGACGAGAGATGGGCCAGTGGCTGGAGCAATGATCTTTCTTGCTTCCGTTGCTTAGCTCTGCGGTTCTGGAACCAGACCTGAGAAAGAATAGCCAAATCAGAGTTTCTATTTCAAATAGGTGGCACTGTCACACGTGATCCCCTTCCTCCAAGGACAGGAGGTTCAGGCACAGGGAGTAAGCATCTCCCACATCACCAGAGGAAGAAAAGTTCTACTAGAGGCATGGCTGACCTAGGTCTGCTGACAAACTGTATTTTTCACTCTAACCTGTGTCTAAATTTGCTCAATTTGTACAACTTTGGATGAGTAAGAACTGTCACCTTCCAATAAGAAAGGGATAAATATGACATAGTGACATTTTCTCTCTCCAGATATTGGGAAATCTTCCCTAGGGTTCAGTTTAGAGATGAAGACTATTGATAAATATAATTGTTACAGACAAGATTGGGTTTAGGGGAGGATTTAGACTTAAGGTTAATCAACTCTATGACTAGTATTGAGGAAGCCTCAGGCTGGATGAACTGCAAGGTTGTGGTTATGGGATAAGGGACAAGGTTGGGCATGTCTGTGAACAGTTAGAATTGAATTTCTGTTGGGGTTCACATCCTTATTAAATATTGAGAGTGGTAACTCAAGTCAGATTATCTTAGAGTTAGGGTTAAACTTGAGTGACATTCACAGTGTAGAGGAGGCAGTGTTAAGTGATGGGTGAAGTTTAGTTCCACTGATTGTCTATACTCAGGTAGCCCCCACTGCACTAAAGAGAATCTGCATTTTTTCCTCAAGGTAGGAGAGAGCCTGAAGTATCACCTGTATTCTGGCCTCACTGAGGCCCGTGTTCCGTGCGAGACCCTCTCGGGCCCAGATGTCTGGGTACTGATTCCTCCCAAAGGCTGATTCCAGCTGCTCCAACTGTGCTGGGCTGAAGGTGGTACGGTGGCGGCGCCGGGAGTGCAAGTGACCCCTCTGTCCTTCTTGTGGAGAATGTCTCGGTCTCCCCACTCCTACGGCAGAGAGCCTCCTATAGGGCTGAGTGCTCATGTCTGAGGAGAGAGAAGAAAGGAGGGAGACGTTGCTTATGAGTGGGATCACCCATCCATCACTGGATCACTTATTTTCTGCTCAAAGCCCCCTATGCTGATTCCCCTTGGGAAACTCAGCTCACACCAGAAATCCTTCTTCTTTCATAACCACTATTCCTGGACCAGCTTAGCCTCAGTTGCTGCTATATTTCTGGGACTGGGTTGTCTGCATAGGGTTACTTCTCCGACCCACTTTCCATCCTGGGTATTCATACTTTGTCTACCTGACAACTCCACTGTATGCCCAATCTGAGCCCCCCGTTACTACCCCTCCATGTGCCTTTCCCCTCCAAGTATACTCCACACCCACCTGGGGCACACCTTGTGGGCCTTCTATTTGTTTTCATGCCCTAACAACTTTCTAGGTCTCTATCGAAGGTCCCCTTTGCTTGTTTTCTGCTCTCATGAGTTACATTCAACTTAAAACTTCTTTATACAGCTCTTAACCTCCTGTACCCCAGCCTGGGAAGATGAAGCATTCTCCACTGTGTCACTCAGGTATAACCTCCCCTTACTTATGAACTCTCTGTCATTTTTCCTTCCTCTGCCCTGGCCCAGCCACCAGGCTGCAGGAACCTGAGCTCGTGGGAAAGGCTCGCCTCTCCTCCCTGCAGTCTCACTAAGCCCCCACATTAATTAGTCTGAGAACTGCCGGGGAAAGAGAGAACAGAGAGGGAAGAGGAGACACCTGGGAAGGTACAGGCTGAGAAAAGGAGATGTCTGGAGCAGACACCTATTCCCATGGGGACCCAAGTGTGGCTCCCACTCAGTGTTCACTGTTCCCCTTGGGGACTTACATGTATTGTACTGCTCTCTCGTGATCAAAGCCTCGGCCCCTCCAGCTCCCCCTCTTACAGAAGGCAGTGTTCTGGGGCAAACTCTGGGATTAGGAGTGAAGGCATAGGCTCCAGCTATGCCTCCGCCTCACCAGAAGCCAGGGCCTCATTTCTGCCTGTGAAGCAAAGGAGTTCTATTTAAGGACCCCATGGTTTTAATATGCTAGGATTCTGGTTTTCATTTCTTCTCCCAGCCTTCCTCATGGTGAACCACTGCCTCAGAGGAGACTAGACATGAGTCTCACACCTGTTGCCCACCTCAGAGCCCCAAGCCCAGCCTGGGAAGTCACTCACCCACTGTGGAGGAGGTCAGAGTCCCTGCAGCTGGGTATCTCTCAGGCAAGAGGGTGCTGCAAATTCGCCCCTTCCTTTGCTTCCCCTGCTGGCTCCTCCCTTCAGCTTCCATGATTAGCCACCAACACCAAAGACAGTCCAGCCTCCTGTGTCCCTGAGTCTTTGATTCTAGTCTTTCTGTTTCTGTTGATCCCTTCTATGCCCGTGATCTCTCTCCTCCTTTTGCTGTACAATCTCTGATCTGTGTGTGTGCGAGCGTGTGTGTAAAGATATAGGTATATAGAGAGATGTCTCTTCACTCACTTATTCTCATTCCCCACATCTCTCTCTCTTTTTCTCTCTCTCCTTCATCTGATTCTCTATTTTTCTCTCTCCCGATCTTCTTTCCACCAGGATGCTCCTCTCTCTTCTTTCAGCTGCCTATTTTCCCACACCACCTCTCTCTCCTTGAGTCTTGGAGGAGTGACCTCCTCCTGGCCCCTGTGGGCCCATCCAATCATTACCTGGTCACCAGAGCCCCCTTGCTCTGGGGAGGATCACAAGCCGGATGAGGGAAGGTGTTCTGTTGGAGGGTCCAGGGACTGGGGCCAAGAGCTCATATTCCCAGGGGACCAGAATCTTTTGTCCAGTTAAATCCCCTCCTGGGAGCAGGCAGAGAAAGAAGGGTAAAATACATTCCTACTAAGTCCCCCTTCTCAGAACCCCACTGTGGGGAGGGAGGAGGAAGGCGGGGACAACCAGGGGGTAAGAGGCAGGGCCTCTCTGGTATCTCAGTGTGCAGGTGATACCCAAGGACCTGTTTCTAGAAAATTATAAAATGAAGAGCCAAGTGCATGCTTGGTACCCTAATATCCCAGAATATACCAGCCACCCTCTCAGAACAATCTGAACTCAATCCATAGGATAAATCTCCAGGGCACCAATGTTATTATGTACTTTCTGATTTCTTCCTTTGAAAGTCACCTGCACATTTATCTAGAAATCTCAGGACATCAAGACCTTTCAAGGCCACTGAGATTTTCAAAAAAAACCCTGATCCTTGAGCGCATGTGAATTCCAGAAGCATTCTGTCCGACCCAAACCTCAGGATACTCTGCAATAAACAGATTCCCATGACATTTTGGCATTCTGATTCTTTAAGGAAACCCTGATATATCTGGAATGTCTGAGCAGTCAGGACCACCTGAACCCTATAGTACTCTGACTCTTGAGGTTGCTTAGACCCTGGAAGTACATTCTGTCATCCCCAGTATACCCTGATACTTTAAGGACAATCTGATATTCTAGGACTTTAGGATCCTCCATGACACTCTGAAACCTAAGGGCACTCTGGTACCCAGGACATTACACCTTTACTAGGTGATTCCCACCCTGTTACATGAAGTTCCAATCTTTTAGGAAACATTGACCTGATGACACACTAACTTTCTTGGAACTTGTATTCCTGCAGTTTGATTCCCAAGGTCACTCTAACTTCTTAATCACATCCTTTAAAACCTTTTTGACAATTCAAGAATGGAAACATCATAAACCTCTGATGTTTATAATATGGTCCAAAGATCATCATCAGTAGCAAATGGGAGCCTGTTAGAAATGCAGAATCTCATGTCCTACCTACTGAATCAGAATCTGTGTTGTAACAAGATCCCCAGGAGAACTGAATGTATATTTGTCTTAGGCAGGTTGGGATGCTGTAACAAAATAGCACAGACTGGGTAGCCTCAATAATAGACATTTATTTCTCATGGTTCTGGGGAGTGAAGAAGTACAAGATCAAGGGGATGGCCGGTTTAGTTCCCCAGTTGAGGTCTCTCTTCCTGGCTTGCAGATAGCTAATTTCTCACTGTGTTTTTACTTGGTGGAGAGAGAACCAGCTTTCTTCTTCTCAGAAGGACACTAATGCCATCATAGGGCCTCCTACTTATTACCCCATCTAAATCTAATTAACTCTAAAGAATTCCACCTCCAAATACCATCATTCTACCAAATTAAGGTGCACCCTTATTTTTTTGGTGGGGAGGGACACAAACATTCAGTACATAAAAAAGTAAAATCGAGAAGCCCTTCTCCAAGACAACAACTTGTCTTTCCATATCCTAGCATATTAGTCAGTTCCACAACACTGTGAACAAAATACTGTAAAAAAAAACAAAGGACGACAAGAATGTTTTTTGGACTAGGAATATTTTGGATCATGGCTTCATAGACTTAGTCTGTAGTTATCTGGCTGCATTGCTTTGGACATGAATTGAGGCAGAACATCATGGTGGAATGGCATGGTGGAGGAAAGCTGCTCAACCCATGACAGTTGGGAAGTGTAGAGGGAGAAGAAGGAACTGGGGACAAGATACAGTCCCCAAGGTCATGCTCCCAAGGACCTACTCCTGCCAAATAAGTTCTACCATCTACAGTTTCTACTACTTCCCAATAATCCATTTAGCTGTAAATCTCTTGATGGACTAATCCATTGATGAGGTACCCTTATGATCCAAGTACTTCCACATATCTTCACCTGTGAATATTTCTGTTGGGGAACAAGCCTTCAACATATGAGCCTTTGGGGGTCATTTCTTATTCAAATCATAACATTCAGTATATCCTGGGGTATACTGTGTTCTAGATAGAGTATATTAGATCTCCTACCCTGAACCCCATGGAAGCCCTTGCAAAACCCAGTAGCATGCAATCAACTTGGACCCACAACAAAACACCAAATTACAATGAACTCTGGTGCCTCAAGATACCCTAACCCTACACAAGCACTCTGACTACCATCCAGGACAACCAGTTGCTCCAGAACACTCTGGTATTACAAAGAAACTCTGACTACTACCTTTGATCCCTAAGGATACCCAGATGCTATGTTTGACTTGACATCACAGGATACCATAATTCCTCAAGAGACTGGAATTTTTAGAAACATATGTTATACCAGGGCACCATATTCCTATCCACAACCTGACTTGCAAGGAAAACTGAAACCCAGAATATTTTTATTTGACATAAGGTAGAATGGTGGATTTGAGCCTATACAGTTTAGGATTTATGTGATTGTGGACTCATTGCCCAATACTTCTAAGTCTTAATTTCATCATCTGTGGTTAAAAATCTAGTAAATTCTCTTTGTCTGAAGTAGTTATGCTCCACAAAGCCACCATGTGAATTATTGAATATCCCCTTTAGTCAGGGTCTGGCTATAATCTGTATTATGTTTGAAATATAACCTTGTATTATATATGTTTCTGTATTATGTTTAATTCTATTTGAATTAACAATATTTAGATAGTATAAAACTCATGGTCAACAGCACTTTAAATCATGCCTGAACAAAGCTTATCTAATGCTTGTATTTTCTCTGCAAGGCACATCATAGCCTTCTTACTCTTCAAAACAGTAGACTGCATTTCAGAACTCATTTGAGCCCATTTTAAACTGCAAAACCACCAACAAAGAGCACAAAAATATAAAAATGACACTAAATATGTCATGGAAAGAACCTATGAGAACTGAAACAAGAATGTGGCCATTCAGTTTTCAGTGTTCTGGGCATGCATGTGGCTGCAAATGTCCACGAACATGCCAAAGAGTAATGCAAAAAACAATGGATTTAGGGGTCACAAATAGATGTTAGTAAGTATGTGAATTCACAAATGTGGAATCCATGAATAATTAAGGAAGAATGTACTTACCTCATGAAATTGTGATGATTGAGTTAATAAAAGGAAGCATGTAGAATTGTAACTTGAAAATCATCATCGTCATCATCATCACCGTCATCACCATCATCACCACAATTCCTAAGGATTCTAACTCTAAGAATAATTCTGTTCATGTCAAATCCTTGAATTTTGAGGGCAAAAAAGATGCTTTCATTTTAGGAGAACATGTGCTTCCAAGGAGCTTTGACCTCATTAGCTTATGGTCACATAAGTTTGAGCTCAGAATGACTCCATGACCCTCTAAGATACACAGACCACAAAGACATGGTGAGATGTTGGAATCTTTGACCCCATAAGAAATTTCTTGACATGATAGGAGGCAGACAATCAAAGCAAAATTCATCTTGCCCATTTAGAACTCCCACTACTCTATTCTTGTACAAGGTATACCACCACTGAAAAACCACTCAACACCCAACCCCAATCTAGGAGATACCCTGACTATAAGGCCTGCCCATGGGGCTGTGTGTGTGTGTGTGTGTGTGTGTGTGTGTGTGTGGTGCTAGGGACTGAACCCAGAGCCTCATACATGTAGGCAAATTCTCTACTCCTGAGTTACATCTCCAGTCCTTCCAATTTTCAGACAGGTTCTCACTAAGTCTCCTAGGCTGGCCTTGAACTTAAGATCCTCTTGCCTCGATCTCTATAGTAGCTGGGATTACAGGTGTGCCCCACCTTGTCCAGGTCCATAAGATATTTTGACCATATAAAGATATAACCTTATTTTCTAAGACACTTGATCATTCAGTGTACCTTAGTACACAGAATGTCTTGATGACAGGACATTTGTGTCCAGTGTACTCTTTCACAGTCCCAGATTTCTCAACAGGTACTACAATCATTGCCACACTCTCCCTATTCCCGACACACAGACAGCCCAGAACAGCTTTTGACACATAGAACCCACAATAATTATCTTATTATCTTATTGTGGGTTCTATGTCCACACAATAATTATCTTAAATCATCAAGAATAATTATCTTATTGTGGGTTCTATGTCCACACAATAATTATCTTAAATCATCAAGAAATCTTGGACTCTCAAGGAAACCATTCTTATATAACATACAACATTATATGTATCACACAGATATATAATGTCCTCAAATAACTTTCTTGGCATTCTCAGCTTTCTTGAGCATGCCCTGTTCATCCAGGACTTTCTGATTCCTATGGATACTCTGGTGGTACAAACACACCTTGACACTTTATAGCAGATCTATTTGAATCTTTATAAATCCATAGGGACCACCATATCTTCAAAATACCTAATTCTCATTCTTTCAGATGCCAAAGGGGTATGTTGGACTATATGAAGACCTTGACAACTATAGGCTTCCAGAGCATCCAGGAGTCTCTGAATCACCCAGACGGCCCAACTTATGAAATACTCCAACTCTAAGAAACAATTTCATCCTCTAGAACGCTTTGACATCAAAGTTGAGATAAGGACACTTCAAGAATATTCTGCATGTACGAGTATGGCATAGTGAGTCCCACTATTATGTATGATTTTAAAGCAGTAATAAAAATGTTCTTCTGGGTGGCAGAATAGAGGAGGTGGTGCTCCTGGCTACGCTGTGGAATGAAACCAAGAAAACTGACAAGCAGCTTCTCAGCAAGGTGGTTAACAACAACAACAACAACAAAGTGAGGAGACTTTACTAGAATTTAAAACTGAACATTCAAAGATCAGGGACTCAGGAGTTTGGATATAATAAAATAAGGGAGAAATCCCCAATGGCACAGCCACTGCCACAGCCATGTCAGAAGCTCCAGCTAGAGAGCTTCCTCCATGAGCATAGTAGAGGGATAAGGGAATTAAAAGGACCCGCATATTTTGGAGACCCAAGGTGTGTCTGAGTACAGAGCATTTAGAGATCAAGGACATTGCTTGGCAAACCTGAAGGACACCCCTGCACAATATCCACATGTGGGGAAGAAGCTGCCATCTCTCCAGGTGGTGTGTGGAGGACAAAGGAAAGAACCATTTTGCAGATGCTCTGCATATCTGGCCAGGAACCCAGAAGAGTAGGGGTGAGAGAAATTGTTTAGAGACTGAACCCAAGACCAGGAAATATGGGGTCTGCAGGTAATGTAGGGGACTAAGAAATGGGTCCCCCACTACACGAGTGGACCCAGAAGAGATCCCTGGGGTAAAGTCTTTCAACTTGGATCAGCAAGTACTGGGCACTGGAGGTGCACTGATTTAAAATCTCCAGACCAATTAGCATTGAGTGAAGAGCCTGAAGCCCACCTAAGCCAAAACCCTGCTTCCAGGAACTCTGCCACTTCAGCAATCCAGAGGTTAGAGCATTTTTCCATAAGACCCCTCCTAAAACCACTGAGAAGAGAAGCTGAGACTACTTTGAACTTGAATGGAAAAACTTCTTTAACTTTTCATCAAGATGTTTTTCTTTTCCTTTTAAAAAAAAATCTTTGTCACTGTTAATTGTGACCTTAATGGTATATGGACATTTATATAGTCTCTTATTTTTTTCCCTTCTTATCTCTAAGCTTTTTTGAAGCCAGTTATTTTACATAAATTAGTTTTTGTGAACTAGGATGTTTGATTAGTATATTTCATTTTTGTTTTGTATTCTTTTTAAAAAAATATATATGTATATATATATATATATGTATATATATATTTATCCTACCTTTTTTCTTCTAATAGCCAATCTCTATTGTTCTCTCTTTCACTCTTTCTTTAATATTTTTTTTCTGTCTTCTCTCCTCCTCCCCCATCATAATCATCACATCCTATATTACTTCTTTTCTCTCCCTGTCCATTTTTTGAAAATGGAAAATCCTTTTGAAAACTTGCCGTTTTTATTATGTGTAATAATTGATCATATCATTTATGTATATTGTGATAATTAATATTGTATATATCATAGAATAAATTATTTGGCTTAATGATTATTTGGCATTGGTTGGTGTTATTATTTTTCTTCCCCTAAACAGTGAGGTACTGGACACCTTCAGGGACAGTATAAGTCCACAGGGTAAAAACTCTACTACCTCAGATCCATACTATTAAATGGGTAGACACACAAATAATATGAATAAAAAAAGGGAACAAATTGCCTAAAGCAAACCAATATACTCTAAGAACAGAATCCATAGATATCATAGTGAAAGAAATGTTGGAGAAAGAGTTTAGAAAATACATAGTTGAAATGATCTGTAAAGCAAAGGATGATGTAATACAGCAAATACAAGTAGCAAAAGATCACTTCAATAAAGAGATAGAGCTTCTGGAAAAAATTACAAACAAATAAACAAAAACTCCTTGGAATGAAAGAAACAATAATCAAATAAAAAATTCAACAGAAAGTATCACCAACAGCTTAGACCACTTGAAGACAATGTATAATCTTGAAAATAGAGTGGACCATGGAGGAAAGATGTTAAGAAACCATGAACAGAACTTCCAAGAATTATGGGATAACATGAAAAGACCAAATTTAAGATTTATTGAGATAGATGAAGGTGCAGAGATATAAACCAAAGGAATGCACAATCTTTTAAAAGAATTAACAACAGAGAATTTCCCAAATCTAAATAATGATGGAAAATCAAATACAAGAGGCTTACAGGACCCCAAATGTGCAAAATTCCAACAGACCCACATCAGACATATTATAATGAAAATGCCTAGCATACAGAATAAAGATAGAAATTTAAAGGCTGCAAGAGAAAAGTATCAGTTACATATAGGGGGAAAACAATGGATCTCAGCAGATTTCTCAACCCAGACCCTCAAAGCTAGGAGGTCCTGGAATAACATAAACCATGTTTGAAAGAAACTGGATGCCAACCAAGAATTCTATATCCAGCAAAATTAAGCTTCAGACTTGAAGATGAAATAAAAATCTTCCATGATAAACAAAATTAAAAAGAATTCTCAACTGGAAAGCCTGCATTTCAGAATATTCTCAACAAAACATTCCATGAAGATGAAAAAAAGTGAAAACCAGTGAAGAGAGGAACTGTGCTAAAGGAACAGTCAATCAAAGGAGAAACTAATTCAAGTAAAAGCTAGAGAAAAACCAAAATGACTGGGGACACAAATCATGTCTCAATAATAACCTTGAACATTAATGGCCTAACCTCATCAGTCAAAAGACATAGACTGGTAGATTGGATTATGAAACAAGACCCAACAATATGCTGTCTCCACAGACTCATAGGCAAAGACATCCACAGACTGAAGATGAAAGGATGGGGAAAAAAACCTATTACTCAAATGGATCATACAAACAAGCAGGGTTTCTATCCTCATATCATATAAAGTGGACTTCAAGCCAAACTCAATCAGAAGAGACTATGGCATTTCATGGTGCTTAAGGGAATTGTATATCAACCAGATATAACAATCATAAATATTTATGCTCCAAACAATGGAGCATTTATGTACATCAAGCAAACCTTTCTCAACTTCAAGAATCAAATCAAATAGATCACAGCACAACAATACTGGCAACTTTAGCACACCTCTCTCACTACTGGCTAGATCTTCCAAATAAAAACTAAGCAAAAAAAAAAAAAACTATAGAACAAAATAACATAATAAATAATTTAAACTTAGCATATATAGAATATTTCATCCATCAATGACTGAATACATTTTCTTCTCAGCAGCACACAAATCTTTCTTGAAAATAGACCTTGTTATGTAAGCTATCACATATGTTGGCATCCAGTTGCAATATCACCTTAATATATTTTTAGCATCTGTAGGGTTATTCTGATAGATCCCTTTCCATTGATGTTAATTTTTGTGTTCTTGTTTTTTTCTTGATTACATTTGTTTGATTTTTATCATATTTTAGCTGTATTATTTCTTCACTATTTCATGTATTTCTGCTCCTATAATCTTATTCTGTTCTTCCTGATACTTAATTTGAAAATAATTTGTTACTCTAGCTTCTTTCTGATACAAATACTTTAAGTTACTAACATTCATCTGAGTACTGTTTCATCCCAGAGATTCTGATATTTTAAGCCTTTATTATCAGCTTAAGTACTTTTTATTTACTTTTCTTGTGCTTTCTTCCTCAACCTGAGAGATATTATAAGTGTGCCATTTGATTTTGAAATAATTGATATTGGGGTAGTGTCTTAAGGTGATTGATTTTTAATGTAATAAATCATGCAGAAAATACAGTCTGCATGATTTCAAATTTTAAAAAGTAATGGAAATGCTTTTTATATTGATTGTATTAGTTACATACCTGTCAAAACTGAACAAATTGCATACTTAGGCATTTTATTGTACTTCAATTTTACCTCAGTAAAGCTATGGAAAATGTGTTCTTCTGCTTGATAAACATTCCTTAAGGCCCAGGACACCTGCCTACCATGACATCATATCTCTCCAGTCCTCCTGTCTTTGCAAGATGCTCCAAGTCTGCCAAACTCTCTGACTTTCATATTTCAGCTACATCTGACCCTTTATAACTTATTTGGCTTCTCTAAGAAAGCAGTTACTCTGACCATTTAGAATATCATAATGATACAAAACACCTGCAAGCTACCTGGGCATGCTTACTATCCTCAGATGAGGTGAACCCACAGGATACTACTCTAACCATGTAAGGACCAGCTGATATCCTCTGTGAATCAAGTCTCTATAAAGATGTATTGGATAACATAAACCCTAGTTTATTCTGAATATAAAACACTCTGCCTTCTAGTTTATTCAACCATAGAGGGACATCTTAAAGTCCTAAGACACTATCACTCCCAGGGCAGTCTAGCCATCCAAAGTGACTTAGATCGTCCAGTACATCTGATACCTCAGCAAACTCTAACCTACAAGGACATCCAGCCTATTGAATTCCCAGTGACCTTGCAGAATGATCTTAAGTTATCTACTGAACACCCAGGAAATTATGTCTGTTAAGGATGCTCTAATCCTAGAAGGATACCTTGTGAGTTTGACTCCGTGTATAAAGATTCTAGAACTAACCCTTTGTGATGTAAATTACTTAGTCACTTCAAGCCTCATTTTCTTCATTTGTAAAATGCTGTGATTTGAATGAGCCTCTCCCAAAGGTCCATACACAAAAACTTGGTCCCCACAATTGTGATATTGGAAGGTATCACAGATATTTAAGATGCAGGGTTAGTGGGAGGTCCTTAGGTCACTGGGGACGCACCCTTTAAGAAATTAAGGGACCCAACATGTTCTTGCTTTCTGTCTTCTATGATTCAAGATGTGACCATTATTACACATACTCCTGCCATTATGCACTGCCCATACCAGAGGTCAAACCGATGGGGCTTCCCAACCTTAACACTTGAATTTCCTAAACTGTGAGTTAAATAAATCTTTTATCTTTTTAAAGTTAGTTGTCTATTTAATTGTGGTGACTGTAACCTGATTAATAAAAGTACAAAGCTAGGGCATTCCTTCTGAGACCTGGGCAGGCAAGGACAATACCTGTCTGCTGTAGTGCCCCAAGTGAGGGTCTGATCTCAGGGCACAGGATAATAAATAGAATGAATTTCAAGAATGGGGACAGAAGCTACCTTTACTTAATGTTAAGAGCTTCAAATTTGTCATCTTTAAATTTATTTATTCTAGAGCACAAGGTGAACTAGGAAGGGCCAAGGTGGTTCATGCATTAATAAAACTTCTTGAAAATAATATTGTCAAATATTCTTGGTCTTGGGTGAGATATTCTTGGTGAAATAGGGATGAAGGTGATTTTTCCCCCCAGAGGAATGAATATTCCATTGTCTCAGTGTTAAGAAAACATTTTCCTTTTTCTTTTGTGCAGATGGGGTCTCACTATGTTGCCCAGGCTGACCTCGGAATCCCAGGCTCAAGATCCTCTCACCTCAGCCTTCCATTACCATGCCCTGCTCAAAAACACTTTTCTTTCCTCATTACTCTAAAGTCCACAAAACATGCTGAAATTTTGATTGGGATTATACTGAGTCAATGAATTAAAAAGATGTTTTAAAGAAATGTTACTTGTTCAATAAGACAAGGGTGAGTATAATAGTGCAGGAGAAAGAGGCTGTCTTTGGAAGACTCTGACTAGAAGGCTGCTCCCAAGTCCATCTTCAATGTTGAGGACTAAAGGAAAATATTTACCTGTTTTCTTTGTGCCTTAAAATCTAAACTGAATATAACATTTTTTTTTGATCACTTTCTCCTCAGGAACATCTCATGTTACTTTGGAGAGATCTGTGGCCATTTGGATTTTTGGCCTTATTTTTTGAGAGAGAGAGAGAGAGAGGGAGAGAGAGAGAGAGAGAGAGAGAGAGAGAGAGAGAGAGAGAGATAGATTTTTAAATATTTATTTTTTAGTTTTCGGTGGATACAACATCTTTGTTTGTATGTGGTGCTGAGGATCAAACCCAGGCCGCATGCATGCCAGGCGAGCGCACTACCACTTGAGCCACATTCCCAGCCTGATTTTTGGCCTTATTAAGATCTGGATGTTTTGGGCTTTCTACAGACTTTTTTTCTTGAAGTGTCCAATAGTTAACCAATTTATATCTTGGATCCAATAATCTAGATAAATGTCCCCTGAATTTTAGTCTCCTTCACACCATACAGAGATGAATAGTTGTCTAGATGGAAAAGCTCCTTTAAGAATGAGAGTTACTAGGAAAAAAAAAGAATTGTACAGATAAGGTCTTAGGGTTCTCTAGTGAAAAAAACTCAAAGGATATATGTAATCAAGAGAGTAATTATAGTCAATTGACTTATGAAGGCTTAGAAGCCCAAAGAACTTCGGTAAGCAAGCTGGAGACCTAAGAATTCCAGTCTGAAAGCTGGCAGACTTGAGACCTAAGAAGAATTTGCCAGTAAGTGGATAAATCTGGAGAATTTTGTGCTAAGTGAAATAAGCCAATCCCCAAAAAGCAAAGGTTGAATTTTTTTTTAAATTTGTGAAAGCTAACCCACAATAAGAGGGGAACAACAGAAGTTCAGTGAATTAGACAAAGGGGAATGAAGGAAAGAGAGGGAAGATAGGAATAGGAAATACAGTGGAATGAATCAGACTTAACTTTCCTTTATACATACATGACTAAATCACAATGGATCTCACATTTGTGTACATCCATAAGACTGGGGTCCTAATTAGAATGATATATTCCATACTTGTCTAATTATACTAAAATGGAATCTACTGTTATGTATATCTAAAAAGAACAATAAAAAAGAGGAGTGTAGGTTTCAGTTTAAATATAAAGGCAGGAAAAAATTATGACCCAGTTTGAGTAGCCAGGCAAGAGGAGTTCTCTTTTTTACTAAAAGGAAGATCAGTTTTTTGTTCTATTTGGGCTTCCAACTGATTGGACTTATTTGGGAGGATAATCAGCTTTACTCAGTCTACTGCTGAGTCAAACATTGATTTCTATGTAAATACGTATCAAAATACTGCATGGTACCTCAAAAATATGTAGTTCTTATGCCTCAATTTAGAAGAAATAGGCAGGTGTGGTGGTGCACACTTGTAATACCAGTTGGCTCAGGAGGCTGAGGCAGGATGATTGCAAGCTTAAAGCCAGCCTCAGCAAGTAAGTGAGACTCTAAGCAACTTAATGAGACCCTGTCTCAAAATAAAAAATAAAAAGGGACTGAAAATGGGGCTCAGTGGTTAAGTATCCCTGCATTCAATGCCTGGTACAAAAGATAATTAAAATTAGAAAAATGTTATTCTCATCCAAAAACACTCTCACAGATACACTCTGAATAATATTTGATCAAATACCTGGGTATCCTGTGGCCCAGCCAAGTTGACATGTAATTAACAATTACAGATAATATAGTCCCTCTTCCCCCACCAAATTCACAGTCTAATAAGGAAGAAATAAAGCCACCAGTCTTGAAAAAAGTATTAAAAAAATAGTTCAAAGAAATTTGACTTATTCTGGTGCTTAGCTTTTTAAGTTCTTTTTATACCCTAGAGATTAGTGCTCTATCTGATGTGAGAGGGGTAAAAATTTGCTCCCAGGATGTAGGCTCTTTGTTCACTTCGCAGATTGTTTCTTTTGCTGAGAAGAAACTTTTTAGTTTGAATCCATCCCCTTTATTGATTCTTGGTTTTAATTATTGTGCTATAGGAATGAAGATTAGGGCCTACTTTTTCTTCTATTAGATGAAGAGTCTCTGGTACAAATTTCTAGGTTCTTGATCCACTTTGAGTTGAGTTTTGTGCATGATGAGAGATAGAAGTTTAATTTTATTTTGTTGCATATGGATTTCCAGTTTTGCCAGCACCATTTTTTGAAGATGTTATCTTTTCTCCAGTGTATCTTTTGACACCTTGGTCTAATACAAAATAATTGTAATTTTGTAGGTTAATCTCTGTGTCTTCTATTTAGTACCATTGGTCTACCAGTCTATATTGGTGCCAATACCATGCTGTTCCAAACTATTGCTCTGCAGTATAGTTTAAGGTCTGGTATAGCAATGTCACCTGCTTCACCCTTCCTGCTAAAGATTGCTTTAGCTATTCTGGGTCTCTTATTTTTCCAGATGAATTTCATGATTGATTTTTTTTATTTCTATGAGGAATGCCATTGGGATTTTTATTGGAATTGCATTAAATCTCTATAGTGCTTTTGGTAGTATGGTCATTTTGATAATATTAATTCTGCCTATCCAAGAGCAAGGTAGAGCTTTCCATCTTATTTTAAAGAGAGAGAGAGGAGAGAAGAGAGAAGAGAGAGAGAGAGAGAGAGAGAGAGAGAGAGAGAGAGAGAGAGAGAGAGAGAGTTTTTAATATTTTTCAGTTTTCAGTGGACGCAACATCTTTATTTTATGTGGTGCTGAGGATCGAACCCAGCACCCTGCGCATGCCAAGTTGAGGGCATTACCGCTTGAGCCACATCCCCAGTCCAGAGCTTCCTCTCTTTAGGGTTCTGTAGTTTTCAGTTTGTAGATTTTTCACCTCTTTCATTAAGTTGATTCCCAAGTATCTTTTTTTTTTGAGATTTTTGTGAATGGGGTAGTTTTCCTAATATCCTTCTCAGAGGATTTGTCACTGATATACAGAAATGCCTTTGATTATGGGTATTGATTTTATATCCTGCCACTTTGCTGAATTAATTTACTAGTTCTAGAAGTTTTCTGGTTGATGTTTTTGGGTCTTCTAGGTATAGAATCATATCATCAGCAAATAGTGCTAATTTAAGTTCTTCTTTTCCTATACTTATTCCTTTAATTTCTTTCATCTAATTGCTCTGGCCAGTATTTCAAGAACTATGTTGAATAGAAGTGGTGGAAGAGGGCATCCCTGTCTTGTTACAGTTTTTAGAGGGAATGCCTTCGATTTTTCTCTATTTAGAATGATATTGGCCTGAGGCTTAGCACAGATAGCTTTTACAATGTTGAGATATGTTCCTGTTATCCCTAGATTTTATAGTGTTTTGAACATAAAGGGGTGCTGTATTTTGTCAAATGCTTTTTCTGTGTCTATTGAGATTATCATATGATTCTTATCTTTAAGTCTATTGATGTGATGAATTACCTTTATTGATTTCTGTATGTTGAACCAAACTTGTATCCCTGGAATGAATCCCATTTGATCATGGTGCACTATTTTTTTTGATATGTTTTTGTATTTGATCTGCCAGAGTTTCATTGAGAATTTTTGCATCTATGTTCATTGGAGATATTGGTCTGAAGTTTTTTTCTTTGATGTGTCTTGCCTGATTTTGGGATCAGGGTAATTGGCCTCATAGAATGAGTTTGGAATTACTTCCTCTTTTTCTATTTCCTGAAATAAATTGAAGAGTATTGGGTATCAGTTCTTCTTTAAAAGTCTCATAGAACTTGGCTGTGTATCCATCTGGTCCTGGGCTTTTCTTGGTTGATAAGCTTCTGATGGAATCTTCTATTTCCTCACTTGATATTGATCTGTTTAAATTGTGTATATCTTCCTGACTCAATCTGGGCATATCGTATGACTTAAGAAATTTGTAGATGTCTTTAATATCTTCTAATTTATTGCAGTATCAAATTTCAAAATAATTTCTAATTATCCTCTGTATTTAGTGTCTGTTTTGATATTACCTTTTTCATCACGTATGCTGGTAATTTGAGTTCTCTCTCTCCTTCTCTTTGTTAGTGTGGATAAGGGTCAGTCAATTTTATTTATTTTTTCAAAGAATTAACTTTTTGTTTTGTCAGTTTTTTCAATTGTTTCTTTTGTGTTTATTTCATTGATTTCAGCTCTAATTTTAATTATTTCTTGCCTTCTACTGTTTTTGCTGCTAATTTCTTCTTTTTCTAGGGCTTTGAGATGTAATGTGAGGTCATTTATTTGTTGACTTTCTCTTCTTTTAAGGAAAACTATTTAGTTTTTAAGGGACAAGAAATTTGGATAGGAAACCCATCAAGAAATATATACAATATGACTAACTTGGAGGAGAGTTTGTAAATTTCCTAAAACATCACTACTCAGCCATTCCTCTTCTATTTATTTATTATGATTGATACGGGTTTGGGATCAGAAGTGTTTCAGACTTCATATTCTTTTGGATTTTGGAATATTTGAATGTACAGATCTTGTGGATAAGACCCAAAATCTAAACACAAATTTGCTTCATGCATTTTACCAATTATCTCAAAAATTAATTTTTAGCAATATTTTAAATGATTTTGTGCATAAACAAAGTTTTATGGCAGGGTAGTTTCTGCTTGTGACAACATAAAAATACTCAAAAAGTTTTGGATTTTGGGGAATTTAGGAATGCAGACTAGGGATGCTCAACTTGCATTTGCATTGGGAAGTAGGAATCAATGGCAAAGAGAGGAGGGATATGTTTTCTTTAATTTATAAATAATTTGGCTTCAATTTTAACTTTGGTATGGTAATTATGAAGGACATTCTTTTAAATTTATCAGCTGAACATTTGTTTTTACAACTTAGGTGTTGGATTTCTAATGTTCGACCTTGTGATCAGAAGCTGTTAGAAAATAAACCCTATGAAATAAATTTTGAGTTT